AAGAAACAGACCAACCTTTTCAAAACCCAACTCTCGAAAACAGCCTCAACTGCATCATTTGCCATACCTTAATACTCAACCAACTGGATTGACACCAAGGGCGGATACAGAACACAATTTTTTGGGGGGCCAAAAAAAATTTGGTCCCCCAAAAAAGTGGGTCAAAAAAATTACGGCGTGGGTTCGGGGCCCACTTTATATAAGGGCCCCGAATTTTTTTTGGATTCTACATGCTCTGTGGTGCGATCTGAGGCAATTTCTGACCACTTTTTTGAGGAAAAGATGGTGGTGTACTCATTGCCTGCCTTTATTGCGATGTCACATAAAAAAAAAATTGGTTTCGTTTGGGGGGGGGGGGCATGGCCCCCTTTGGCCCCCCCCCCCCGGATCCGCCCTTGATTGACACACAAGATGAGTCCATCAGCGCTCTGATCATTTTTTTCTTCTGTTTTTAGAACAATTTTGAAATTATACGATGATTTTTTTCCTGCATCAAAGCAATACAAAAGTAATTGTTGGACCTTAAGCATTTCATTTATTGTTTTGGCCCCCATTTTACTATTGTAAGACCTTAGGCATTTCATGTATTGTTTTGGCCCCAATTTTACTAGCTTCAAAACATTATTTCTGCAAAGTATCTTTGTGAAACTTGTCAAATGCAAATATGCATTAAAGTCTTATTTTTAACATTAAACTCTCGCTTTCTTAAAATTGAAATAAAAATTTGTTTCCAAATAACATTTCCCAAAGTAGCCATTTTTGCACGGCCTGCACGAAATGACGATTAAATACTGCAATTCTGCCAGTTCACCCCTTTTGGTAATTCGCAATAAACTATAACAAAAACACAGCGTGGCAAAAGCTTAGGCCTAGAAGTAAAAATATTTTAAGTTTTTAGCGAAACTACCGTAGGCCTATTTTCATTTTTATTCATACACTAAATGATTGTTGGAAAAGCGAACTTGTCCAGTATTGTGTTTTAAAGGGGGTGTCAGTATCCAATGTTCCCCAATATGTTCCCCAACACCGATGTTTCCCGAAATCCTTAGGATTAGGGTGAGGGTTAGGCTGCTGTATCTGTTAGCTTCTGTACAAACGCCTGGTGTGGCCATCGCGTACAGCCTCGTGTATCTATGAGGATAACTGCCAGAAACACCGGGGCGAACCCCTTCTCTTAGTGCTGGGTTCTTTTACGTACATTTATACAGCACACAGGACCTACTTTACGTCCCATCCGAAGCACGAAGCAAAAATGGTTAAGTGCCTTGATCAGGGGCACAAGTGTCCGGGCCCGGGCTTGAACCCACGCCACTGTTGCCTCTGAAACACCAGAGCATGGGTCCAGTGTTCTTAACCGCTAGGCCATCTCACCTAAGCCTAAGCTTAGGGTTAGGCTTAGGGTCAGGATAGGGGAACAGCGGTATTGGGAACATATCGGGGAACATGCATCCGTTTGAAAGAACAACTAACTTCAATCGGGACCGAGTTAAGCAAGGGCAAATTATTATTAAACTAATGAGTTACCAAATTAATCGTCTTGGTATAAAATACATGTATTCGCGAGGACAGTCTTCCACCTCATGAAACATTAAAAAGAAAACACATACATTTTCTAGATTGATTTAACGACTCAGTGCACCGTTGCTATACAGTCGAACTCTGATAAGAGGAGCACTGTTAATACAATTAAGGACCTGCTTAAAAACAAGAACAATTCTAGGTCTCATTACAAGTCTTTGTTTTCCAATCAAGGTAATTTGTCAAGTCCCAATGTTCTTGTTATAAAGGTGTTCGACTGTAATTGTTGTTTTTTTTTTTACTACCCTCTCGTCTAAATCGATAAATCAAACTAAGTACTCGAAATAAATACACAAAAGGTTTAAAAAGGTTTACCCTACCTTACTACTGGCGAATATGAAGGAATTTGGAATTCTTGTTGGAATCTTTGATGTAGGCCAATTCGACTCTGGAAATAACTGCTAGCTGCTGTAACTGTTGGCAAACACCTAGCTTCTACTGAAATGAAGTGCTTGGCTATAGTAAAGGGGTACCAAGGAAATGGAGCAACAAAAGGGTGCATCAATTAGGTCTTTTAAAACCTCCCATTCTAAACCCATTCAGTGGTGGGTTGCGTGGCGCCGAAGGACAAATTTGGCTTTCAAAATGGATTTCCACGGATGGATGCAGCTTTTGCCCTGGGGATTTTTGACCGCCTGCGGGGCTGTCGGAATAAAATTCACCTCTGGTTGAAGGCCAGTAAATCGGTCCAAAATCTTTTTCAATTAGAAATTCGTATATGGGCACTGGAGGATGTCGTTCCACGTCTGAGTGCCTGACTTATAGCCTCACTCGTTTGTTTTCAGGCCAGATATCGAACTGAGAGAATTTTTTTCTCCCAATTCTGTTCTCCCAATTGGGGGGGGGGGGGGGGGGACTTTTTATGCAAACAAGCTCGCGTAGAAAATTGTGAACCCTCACCTTTCGCGAATTTATTGCGCCCGCTATCGGTCTAATTGCGTCATTCGGGTATCGTAATTATGTCTATAGCCCAGTACCCCCTCACCACCACATGAAAAATATATTATTTCTTAAAAATGTGCTCGTTTATTGAGAAATTCAATATCCAAACTGCTTAAGATTTTGAGCAATTATAAGTGTTGCTTTAAACGAAAATAAAATGCACACAAATATGGCAGAGTAAAATAAAATGAAAACTCTTGGGGAATTAATGTGTCTGGCAGTTTATCTTTTGGAAGAAATCTCTAAGTTTATCAAGAGTTTATTGGGTAACGCAATCCGGGACTTGAGTAATTGCCACCACTAATTCTAGCTTTGCTTCATTTTTCCAAAGATCTAAACCAAATAAAGAATCGTAAAAATGCATACTTCATTAGTTGTGATACAAGGCCATGAAAAGGAGGATGCTGGGCTTTTTAGTGATTCTATTTACAAAAGTAGGATCCATTTTTTTGGGGGGGGGGGTAGTGAATTTCTCCAACTGTGTTACACTGTTGGAGAACCACTTTAAATTTCAGACGTGTACAGAAATACTTTATTTCAAAAGTCAAGTCCGTATTTGAGTGTTCTATAAGTTGTGTGCAATTACTACGGGGAAAAAACGTTCGAAAAGTTATTTTTGACGTGTTTTTTTAACACATGCAGAATGAATCTTAACTCAAATGTACTGATATAGTAGATATAGGGGTTTGATCATAATTATTTCATTCAGGATAGTTCGTCAAACTCAAATGAAATAAATATACAATAACCACAACACAGTTGAAATTTGCAATTAAATTTTATTCTTTTATTTCATATACAGTAATTTATTGTAATAGCATATACAATTCTACCCCTTGTCTCCCTGGTGATTAACAAAAACTGTTGTTTCAAATGGTTATGAAAATTTACACAGATTTGCTGAAGACATTCATTAGCTAGGCATGTACATTACATGCCTATAGGCCAAGTAAAAAAATAAACAAGTTTCTTGTCCCGGCCTTCTACCTTTTTCCTGCCCGCAACCTTAAAAAAAAAATCATACATTTGCAATATATTTTGCAAATTTTGTAAATATATCGTCTTTTTGTTTCCAACTAAATTGTAGCTATGTAGAAAGGGTGACGACTCCTTTGATACAATTCGTATCAGCAAAGGAGTCGAGAAAATGGAAGAATCAATCCATCATCTTGGAAAATCTGCCATCTTTGGAGAAAGAAAATGGGGCCACCTCCTTCTTTTTTTCCTCAAAAAGCCCAGACGAAAAACCATTATTTATTTTTTTACTCCGCCTCATATTCAAACATAAGATTTTAGGAGACATATAAAGGTGAACCCCTCTTTTACTTGAGCAAAAGTAAAAGTAACTTCTGATGATAGTATAAAGAATGTTTTACAGAAAGAATGAAAAAAAAATTGACTGAACCAAGATTTAAAATTTGAGCTTAAAAAAGTGTCGGTTTCAATTGTGGTTCCATAAAAATACAATGTTTTTCCATAATTTTTTTCAATAGTTACTGTTAAGTCCAATTGATGAGTACACTATAAAACTGGCTTTCCTGATTTTTTGGATGAGTTTAGTTGATGTTTAATAAACATGAATATCTAATTTTTATATTTTTTTGTTTTAAAGAATGTACAACACATGGCAAAATCAAGACAGCCAAAGGGGCAGTAGATGATAAGGTAGAGAGTAGGATGTTAAAAATGAATTGAACATATTAGAGGCATTTGGAGTTAATGCATTGTTTTTTTCCGATAATAATACCACCCAAAATCGAAAGAATGTTCAAAACCTAACGTGTTGAGGTTTCAGCTCAGTGGGTATTACACAACTCGAGAAAACGGTGACAAACCCATGCACAACCTTGTGATCACAAAACAAGATTTTGTCAATAGCACTCTAGCAACGACCTTGTGTATGCGAATAAAGACGAGATTACTATTAAGTACTGGGTCGTGTAGTCGCATATGTTACATGGACAGAGAGCTGCAAAGTGTGGCTACGTTCTCCAACAAGGTCGGAGTTCCCAGACCAAATATAACTCGATATAAATCCAGCGACAAAACAATTAAAATTTCCTGAAAAAGATTTAAAGGTGTCCGTTCAGCACTAACTGAATCGCATATTGTAGCCTAGCTGCGTGTGGTTGCTGTTCGCGCCATGGGTGTTGCCAGGTTTTTTTTTTGGAGGGGGGCAAAGCACTCACCAGAAGCGAAGGGAGAAATCACCGGCCGTGGGGAAACTCCAAGCCCATGTTGTTAAACATACATTAAAGAGGTTGTGGAATGCTCGAAGACATTTCCGTCATTTTTTCGGGTATATGTAGCCCAAGGTGTGATGAGTCCTGTTTATTACGTCACGATTTACTATGTTTTGTTTGCCGCCCTCAACGACGACTTTTACACAAATTGCATGTTTGGGTCGAAACAGGACCTGAAAAAGAGCTCTCAAAAGTACCTTTTGTACTCATTTCATGACAGACACAATAGTCGTTTTTATTTCATCACACCTTAGGCTACATATACCCGAAAAATGACGGAAATGTCTTCGAGCATTCCACAACCTCTTTAAATTAACAGTAATATGATTCGCTTTTGTCTTTATTCATTTTCTTGTTCCTTTAGGTTTCTCCTTTTTTTGTGGTTGTGTGTTCTGCCTTGCTGCCCCCCCCCCCCCCAAGTACGCCCATAGTTCGCACTTCGTACAGTACATGTGAGTGCATGGAGCGCGGCTATTGGTTATTTTAGCGGCTGACCATCGATCATTGATCGGACACTGACCCCCTCCCCCCCTCCCCCCAGATATGGCACTACTTTAAGTCCTCTTGTGTACTGCATCATTTCTTCTTGGCTTTTGTCTTGGTTTTCTGTAGGTTGGGTGCAGACACCTTCACTTTGCCCGGTAAGTTCCTTGACAGATCAGTATCCTGTAAATATATACAAAAAGTTTGATGAAACTTCAGTGTAAAAAATTATGATAACTGCTCGCATCTTTACTTTGACTTTTAGACATGTAACAAAACTGGCACTCAATGAACAATTCAATTTAATTGAAAAGTTAGAGGTACATAGGATCACTTGATGTCTGTGCATTTCTTTTTTTATTTGAATAAACAAAATTGCCTGAAATTTTGGAATCTTAAGGAGAGTGCATAACAACTAACTTGTTGAAGTTCTAGCTCAGTGGCTAATATTTATTTGGAGAAAACAGAGAAAGTCAGGGGCGGATCCAGGAATTTTTGCAAGGGGGGTTTCATCAGCAAATAATTCTGAAATGTAGACAGGTAAATCAAAAACTGGGGGGGAGGGGGGGGGTTGGGGGCTGGTACCATATTTCAATAGGGGGCGCTGTTCAAATTCGATGATTTTTAACAACAGATTACAGAATGGTGTACAATATCCCCTATCTAAGCTGCCTCTGTCCGTATTTTGATCAGGCGGACATTATAGTAGTATAACTTTTTTTGTGCGTCAGAGTAGGGGGGGAGGGGGGGTTTGCATTATTTTTTAGAAATTTCTATGAACAAAATTATTTTTCCACACAGAGCTGTTTTTTTTGTTTTTTTTTACCCCCCCCCCCGGATCCGCGACTGAAAAATGCAAAATTTTGGGGTTTCTTAACTAGATTCTGTTGCTAACACACGTAAAACAGTGTGCCTGCAGGTACCCTATTTTGAAACCACCTTCAATGTTAGTTTTCTGCCAAATGAAACAATTGCTGGAAGAGTAATTTCACAGGGTATTTGGTACCACTCCTATCTTTACTTTGAGCAAGGTTTTTGTCATTAAATCACAAGTTACTTTTCCGGGTAATTGGAAATAAACCTACCAGGCTTTAAAAACAGTTCCCAGCAGAAGTGAATCATTTTGCAAAGGAATGTTACCCTTATCATCCAAATCTTTATTCTCCCCACATTGACATAACATTCTGAACACAGTTGACTTAGTCATAATGGCTGCAATGTTTATTTTTGTCGTGGGGCTTTATAAATGAGTTTCCTGTATAGGTTTTTCTTTCTCGAAAATCTAAAAAAAGGAAAGAAGGCCTCATCTAAAAAAGAATGAAGAACTATAAATTTAAATGGAATAGGCAAAAATATCAAAAAGAAGTCATATTTCAGTTTCAATTATTAGCAGTAATGTCTGCCTATATATACAGCTAGAAAAACCATAAACGTTTTTAAAAGATTATGAATACATGAGAAAAAGGTCTCTGATCGTTGCCATGGTTACCTTGACACTCTTGAAGAGATCCTTCTCTCGATTGGTTGTCTCCTTGGAGAACTGGAACATGCTCAGAGCAGTCTTGGCAGCTGGAATGCAAAATCATAAAAAATGGGCATAAAAACAAAAGACAAACAGATAATCCACTCTCTGCATCAAGAAAAAAAAAGTGTACGGATATTTACATAAGAAATAAATATGTGAGGCGTTCTGGCAAAATGAGACGAAACTGGGCACAGGCCATAGTGGAGAAAAATGCAAAAAACTGATTAGAGGTGATTTTTTTTCCCGATTTCCAGATTTATTGATATTTATAACCTTTGATATGTCTACCACACACATTTTAAAGAAATAGTATAAAAATCGTGGAATTAAATTGTTTTAAGGAAAAGCAATTGGCATCTTTCATTTTTACGACTACAAAACTGGAAACTTTAAAGACCTTTTTCTCAGATTTTACTTTTTGACATGTCGATAAGTACAAACTTTAAACAGCCATAACTTGTCAACGGAATGTCCGATTGAAGTGCAACAAACAGCATTGTAAGGAGGATTTTATTCTCTTTTCTAATACCTGCAAACCCTCATTTCAACCTCTGCTCAGTTGTGTCTCATTTTGCCAGAACGCCTCGCATTATCAGGTTGAACAGTGAACCTGCAACCACCAGACCATTGAATAGGTGCTCAACCAACTGAGCTATCAAGACCTATGATGTCTCCGATATTGTCGATAATTTTGTTCATCTATTCAGAGGCCATAAACGCATACGTGCTGTGTGGCAATAGATCACGTCCCAAAGTAACGATGCTCGCAAAAAGTGAAATAAAAATCTATATTTCTTTCACTTTCTACAAAGAGCCCCAGAAACAATAAACTTACTTTGTCGCCACAAGAACAGAGATAAGACACCAAAATAGTCTAAATTTCATGTGTGTGGAAACTACATGTACCACACAAAAGCTGTATACAAATCCCCTGAAGTAGCCTTGGAGTAGCTTAGAATTAAATAGTCGTGAGAAAAATACAAGTCATGATTTTTTTTTGGGAGGGGGGGGGGGGAGTGTTTAGATAATCACCTTTGCCTCTTTTTCCTGTTCCTGGAGTCAACTTCACCTTAAATCTGAAATTCAAATAACAAGGGAAGAATTTTCATATGAACTTAATACAACGTTTAAAACATGTTAACCAAACGATAATTGTATGATCACACCACACATTACAAATCTTTTACCGCTCCACTTTAAACCTTCAATTATGTTTTTGATTTCCACAATTAAAAAAACAACAACACAGAAAATCTTTCAAACTATTTTTTTCATACTTGGTACTTTGTAATTCATTAAAAAAATGACCTTATTAAGAATGAACTCAGAGCATTATTTATTAGTTTGGTAGGTTGTTTACTATTCATAATAACTCTTGCAGGATGACTGCACTAAGGAGTGCGTCAGAATTATAACATCATTGATGTCAGATGTAACAGGGACAGGAACACAAAAAGAAGAAGTGCACCCCAAGTTTATAGAATGACCCTTATCTAAACTCACTTGTAGTTGTGCATAACAGAGTATGGTGCACAAACTGGAAGACCAAATAATAACATATCCTCAGCATGAGGGCAGGCAGTTAACGAGTCCACAATGTTGGAGCTTTCCTAGAAAGATGAAAAACAAAAATAAACAGTGATAAGGGGACCTTAAAAGATGACCAAAAAATTCGGAAAGATTCCCATATCTGGCCATTAGTAATTTTGTAAAGATTCCCATATCTGGCCTTCACTTGTCACCCTGTGCACAAACCCTATGGGACTGGTCTGAAAATGTGTAAGTGTTTTCTCGGTAACAATTCAAAATTTGCACTGCTAATTTTGACTTTTTAGGACATATTATCACTTTCTGATGGCTGATAGGTCATTTAAGGGAAAAATTACTGATGGCCAGATATGGGAATCTTTCCAAAAATTCAACGCTAAAATTGACACTGATGTCACTTTTCATCCCATGCATTATTTCAATACAAGCTCTTCTTTCCTGGGAAATTCGTAGGCATAGACTCACTGTCCTTTCTTAAAGATGTACTGTCTGTGCTATTTTCAGTTTCACGCTAAAAAATCAGATTAAAAAAAACCCAAACAATGCTACTGTTTCTAGCGATACAAAGTTTATCCATTTTTGAAAGAGACATCTAACAATATACAAATATTGAGTGGCTTAGAGTGAAATGGGAGGAAAATTATCGCAAGGTAAAATCTGGACTTTTCCATTTCACGAGGTGAAGCCGAGTGAACTGGAAACGTCCGGATTTTACTGACCGATAATATTCCTCCCATTTCACAATTTTAAGCCACTCAATTATTTGTTTTATGTAACTGACATATAGATCCTTGTCATTTGATATATTTGAACTTTTATTTCACTACAAAATTGATGGGAAATGTATTTCTCTCTTCCAAACCACCCCTTCACGAAAATGTTTGAACCCCACTCTGTAGCGCTGGCTCTTTGGAACAATACGCGCTACACCCAACGCTGAACGCGCACACCAGCATGCATTTGCACACAAATACCGCGTCTTGGAACAAGAATGATCCCAACTGTTCAATAGTATTTCCCATTCCCCATGGGCGGATAGTACTCTTTTGAGACCCGGCGTGAATGGGAGTAATAACAATATCACGTGATGTGAGTTCCACCAATCAAATGACAAGGATATGTATGTTGGTTATACAAAAGAAACTAGCCCATCTTGGAATACGTTGCTAAATACTTTGCTAATGTAAAGTTATTAGCCGCCCAATAATAATTTAGTTATCTCAGGGTAGAATAGTTCCCACCTCCATCAAACTTGAGGAAATGGGAACCAGTCTACTCACAGGATGAATCTGTGAGTAAACAACCCCCCAAAAAGACTTATTTTGCAGAGGGTTGCAGATACCCAAAACAGAATTTTTTTTTTTTCTTTGTCATTAAGATGAAACTGACAAGATGAAGCTTTTTTTTAGGAGAAAATGTTAAATACGTTGAAGAGCACGGACATCTTTAAGATGTACAAAGCAAACTCTGATTTGTTTCTGACCTTCATGAGTTGTGACTGCTCATCTTGGAGTGACGTCTCCTTGTCTTCATCTGAAACCTGCATCAGGAACACAAGACAAAGTAAGTTGTTAATGGGCATTTCCACGCAAAGGTGGACACAGCTGAAAAAGTGAAAATCTATGAACTTTTCAGAACTACAAGCATTACAACCACTAATGTGGTATCGAATAAAAGGGGCCAGAAGGCCTTTCATTTGAGTGGCATGTGCCAGTATGATGGAATATGGAAAGTGTGTTGGTAAAAAAAAATTGGGGGCTAAAATGATGGAACCCATGACCTCCTGCTTTCTAGTGCAGATGTCTTACCACTCATGGGTTTGAATCCCACCCGAGTGATTTTTTCCAACTTTCACTCGGGAGGTAACACACTGAGTTATACAGTGTTTACACGTCGGTGAAGGGCAAAACCTAATATTGATTTACATCACCTCGACGCAAACAAAATCTCATCTTATAAGTAAGTCAATTACATGTTGCAAAATATGGTTTCATTATTTTATTCGGTGATATCAACTCATGATAAACTCATTGCAATAGACAAACTCTACAAACAATACATCTTTTAATTTAGCCAGCATACGGGTGTAACTGCAGTTTTTTCTTCTTCAGATTTTATTTCCAACCGACCAATCCTAAGTCAGAGGCAAAAACAATATGAGCATCACAGAAATAAAACGAGATGCCCTTACTTAAAAAAGAAGAAAAGTTTCAACAAAATATCTTGTTTGAAACTCACCTCTCCTGTACCCTCTTCTACCGTTTCCTTCTTGGATTTCCAAGCATGCTTGAAGCCCACCGGCAGCACTCTGTCTTCACCTAAACCATCAATTTCAGATCAAATTGTTCTCAATAAGTTAATGCATCAAAGATGGTATTATTTCCAAAGCCCAATCCCTTCATCACAAATGGGTCAACTGTTTATTGAAAGATGTATTAATTTCTCACTTCACTTGGTTTGTAAGAGACTGCGCCATACATGCGCAGACACCACTGTACGTGTTCTACATAACCCCCGAGGACCGACACACAAAGGGAGAACAACAGATCCTATCAGTCCTCGGGCGTTGGGTCTTTTGTTCAAAACGGTCCTCGATCGTACAGTTATGTGCTTAGTCTATGGGAGAGTATTACACTACTGGGACAAAGGGAAGCACAAAGCATTGTCCTCGAGAGTATAGTAAAACACAACTGTATAATTACTTGCGTGCATTGGCTTAACACGCAACTTTATATTACTTCGGGTTCCGATGGTTCCAATGATTTTTAATGCTACTCCGTGTGTAGTGGGTGTGGTTTAATTTAAAAAGACATCGCACTTATTTAGCGGATACCACCCCAAACCACCCCAAGCAATGTATGGTTTATGGATTCATTAGGGTACAAACACAATGTGATCAAAGGTATCACAGGTGCTAATGGGTTAAAAGCTCACATTTTTTTTATGGCAATAAAGAAAATATGACATTGACGGGCAAAACCCAATATTGAATTTGAATCTACTGTTCCTTCATATGGGCTCTGTGTGCAAACAAGAGAGAGGGTTTTTGGACACCTTTGACGCCCCGTGGACGGGAAGCATCATGTGCACCTACTGGTTTGTGCGTCTATAGCACGAAGTACACATGACTCATTTTATTTTGAGTACGTACAAAACCATAGCATCTTCGCATGAGCGTCAGATGTCATCAGCTGTGCATTCCAATGTCTCTCCCATTAGTCGCTCCCCAAAACTCCCTCTCTCAATGGGGTATTTGTACATTGGAGCCCATAGTTAAAAGCCATTGTAAAAGAAGGCGGAAAAATGAATGCAAATATTATTTTTAAATTGTATTCAAATAAAAATTCTGCACCAATCGTTTCAGACTGGAATTCCAGATTCGTGCTGAAACAAAGAGTATTAGGAGCAACTCGGGTCAACTTTTTGGTTTCAGACAGGCCAGTGTTGTAGTCTAGACCATCACAAGACCAGCCCCAAGACCAGCCACAAGTAACAGGGCACGAACAATGACAAAGCAATGCCTTTGTTGCAGTTCATTTGAATAGCTTGTGACTTGAATTGAGACTGGCGGTCTTGTGTTGGTCTGTGATGGTCTTGTAGGTGTCGACTACAACACTGAGACAAGCGAACTGTATGTACTTATTTTATGTTGACTAGAATCTAGAGTTGTTGACTGTAATCGTCAGACATGAACTTTATTCAAATCCTTTGGAATCATTTGCTTTAGTGGGGCTAGAGAACGCCAGTCTTCAATGGGTGTTACCTTGTTCGCTAGTCACATCCAGCCCTTTCATTTTCTCCTCCAGTTGGCCCTCTGTTTCCCCCATGTCCTCCCTTCCATGAGCCTTGCCGGCCTGGTTTTTCCTCTTCTGTTGCTGCTTCTGTTTCATCTGTTGGTGCTTCTCTTCCAGGAGTTGTTGCTTGCGAGCCTGCTTAGCCTTCTTTCCTCTCAGCTCCTTGGGTGCCCCGGCAGACTAAAAAACAAACATAAACGCATACAGTTGGCAACTTTTATACTTAAAAAATCAAACCATACAACTCTACCATATTCACAAGTCCATCGCGAGTCAAATCACATGCCACTCGCAAGACATTCAAAATCCTGGCAACTTTTGATGCAGAAATACCTGTAACATTTAGGTTTCTGCCCGAAATTACGTCACACTTTTGCTCATAAATATGGAAATTGGCATTAGCATAAAAACCCAAAAGGCACCAAAATGCCCTTGAAAATGGCAAAATGATCATTGATATAAGGTTAAATGGGACATTTTCAAAGATTGCATTTTAAAAATTACATTCAAAGGAACCTTTAATGGGTCTATTTTAGTTCCCAGCAATAGCGGACATGGTTAGAGTACTGAGACCACAGTGCCTCAGAGTGCCGTCCCTCTGGGTCTGACAACTCACAGCAAGGATCTCCATCTTCAGACGTCTCTCCTCCTCATCTTGATCCTTGTACTTCTGTTTGATTTTCTTCAGTTTGTTCTGAGAAAGAGAACATGCAAGTATGAATAAATGAAATTCTGTGTACACATAAGATAAAAGTATTCTGCAATAATAATAATAATAACTGTATTTATATGGCGCCTTTTGCCAGAGGATACAAAGCACTGGGGGAGAATGCAACCAAAGACAGGTAAATGAAGTATATGAACATATGAGACCCATTATGAAGCAACCTTTTTTGCTAGCTGCCACTGCCAGAAACACCGGGGCAAATTCCTTCTCTTAGCGACAAGTGTTACTGGGTTCTTTAACGTGCATTACACAACACACGGGACCTATGGCTTTACGTCCCATCCGAAGGATGAAGCAATGATGGTAAAGTGCCTTGCTCACGAGCACAAGCACCATGTTCCCAGGGTCAGGATTCGAACCCATGTACCACGGCACACGAGTCGAACACCGTAACCATTGGACCACAGCACCCCATTTCTGTACCAAGTCTTTTTTTCAAGTAAACCACAAATGGAAGCTGACTAGGTGCATTATAATAATTTTGATGTTGAACAAAGAAATGGTCGAAAGACTAGAGAGGGCTTTGATTCTGCAACCTCCTGATTGCCGTTCCGGTGCTCTACCAACTGAGCTATCCAGCCCTATGTTAGCCGTTCCCGATTTTGTCATTGTCTTTGTTCGAGGTGTGCTAGTCATAAGCCATATACCCGTATATGCCATGTAGCCAGGGATCATGTGCCTATTATTGCATTAGCTATGCTGCAAACCCTGGAGATAGCAGTCGAATTTCTGATTGAAAAAGATATAGCCAGAATTGTTTATGTTCTGTTGAAATACATTTACAATCACCTTAAGACCTATCAAATGGCTGCTTCATACTCGGCGTGAATGTGATAAGTATTTGTAACATTAGTTTAAGTATTTGCATGGGGATTTTCACAAAGTGAAACACATTTCAAGAAAACTTTTAGACATCAAAATTACTTCCCATCTTCACTGGCGTGAAGAATGAACCCTTAAATCCCCACACACATACCACTTACTGTGACTTTTTAATACTGTTAGAGGTGTCCCAAATTAATATTGTTAGAGGTATCCTCAATTAGGATGCCAAGTGCAATATAAAGATGTGGATATCCCCTGTTTATGGATAGTTGTAGGCAGTAGAGTTCCATAAGATAAGCCTCCCAAGAAACCCCCCCCCCCCCCAAAAAAAGTAAGCCACTCACCTTCTGACCACGCTTTATCTGTTGAGGTTGTGCTCCCATAGCCTGTCAAAATATACGAGAAAGAGAGAAAGAGAGAGGGAAAAAACAGCGTTCAGGGAAAACTTCAACTTTTCAACGAAGGAAATACAGTGGAACGCCGTTATGCCGAACACCGCTATACCAAACATTCGGCTATACCGAACATCATCCTTGGCTCCCGGTTTTAATGTACAAACGTACCCAACATTGTTGTTGTAAAAAGTCAACAGATTAACAAAAAAATCTACCAGATGCACATATTAAACACTATTTGGGCCACTTTTAATTTCCGAACATCAAATGACCCATAGTTACACCACGTTTGAATGTTGAAGAGTGATAGATGGCTATTATTTCCCCAAGGAATAGAAGGGAAAACCACTCGTGAGAAATGCCAGTTCACTATTGGTCAAAAGAGGGTACCGTCGGCTCAAAATCGCTATACTGAACGATTGTTATTACGAACACATTCTGTGGATCCAACGATGTTCGTTATAGCGGCGTTCCACTGTAGTTTGAAATTTTAACCTTTGTTAGCAACTCTAGGCTTTGACAGAAATGTCCCTGAAGCGAGGCAATGGTCTTGCGTGGGGCTAGTGCCCCCTGCACCCCCCATAGTTATGCCCCTGATTGCAAGCCATGTGATCCTGACATGCTTGAGCTCATGGGAGGCCTGACCTCTTTCTCCTTATCCTCTTCTTGCTCTTCTGTCTCTTCCTTCTCCTCATATTCCTCTTTTGTATCTAGGCCAGACGTTCTCACGGCATCCTCTGAAATGACTTCTTCATTTTCTGGTTCTTCTTTTCTGTCAATTTCTTCTTCGTCGTCGTTTGTGTCTGCGTTTGGTCTCCTTTTCTGTTTCTTCAGTTGCCTGAAATACGAGTTGTAATAAATTTATAACAAATCAATAATCGTCATAACTCAATCACTATACGATCACAAATCATCATTACAAAATTGTCAATCGCTATTCGATCAAATGTTATCATAAATGATTTGCTATTTAATTGCCAATCATCATCGCAAATCAAAAGTCATTTTAAAAGTTGTTTGTGACCTGATATGGGATTTGAATTTTCACTGACTTGCGATTGAATGGATACAATCTTTGTCCGAAATAACTGCAGATACGACAGTTACAATTGTAGCAATTTTTGGTTTTGGATGCTTGATCTACAAATGGGAAATTACAATGATTTAGTTTCGCAGCTCAGAAGGTCAACCAGAAACTCACTGTCACCCAAATTGCTCAATTCTTGACATAAAAATTACTAAAAAATTACAAATTGGCAACCCACCTTTTCTGCTTGGCTGAGAGGTACTGTTTTGGCATCTGAAAATGAAATATCCACACAGCGCGATTACATGAGCTGAACAACTTCCTGAGTATAAATTTATACTAATTCTTGCTGCACTTTGGCTTGGGACTGTCAGTAGTAGTAACACCATAACATCAGCACAGTTCCAAGTAAAAAAAAAATACATACTGGCCTGTTATCTATTCCTGTAAATTCCTCTTGTAAGCTAAGCATACAAGAGCATTGATGAAAACTGACAACTGACATTTGATTGCATCTTGTAGTTTTACAATATATACTAAATTCTGAGGACCTCAATTTGTAAGCGTAAGTGTGAGTGCATTTGCATGCGTACGTGACGTAAGCATGTCTGGTTTCCGTACATACCGCAGCTTGCAAGCGAGTCTGTTAGTGTCGTTGGATGAAAATGTTGACCGCAGTCAGTTTGGCCTAGTGCCTCAATTGCACGTGTACGGTACGTCGCCTGACTAATGGTTTTTGGAACAGCTGTTTTGTTTCCGCCAATGCGCATGTGCTGCTATTTTGCATATGAGGTCACGCCCTGTTGCAAAGCAAAATTCCCAAGACGTTCTTTGCATGCGGTTCGTCGACTGAGTCAGGTTCGTGAATGGGAAGTGAATGACGCTGCGCGGTACAAAGGCTGTACCGTCTATCCTGAACTATCCTATAAGAAAGTCTGGCACCAAGACTACACTGAGTATAGAGTGCTTATGAAAACACAATAGTGAAAGGCAAAACTTAATAATGAACCTATCTTTTGAAATATTTAAATGACTGAACAATTCAACAAATTATTCTCTGTAAAGACAATGCATGAGATTTTTTCTTATACCTGGCGGCGAAATTATAAGAAACTTTAATCACTAAGCTTACCTGTTTGTCGCTCTGTTTGTTAGCAGCAATTAGTATCGGCTGGTCGTCACCAAGGTAAATTTTCATTTCAGTTTCCCCTTCATTTGAATGGTAGCTTCCAGTGCTAAGAACACTTGACCCCCGCGACCTCTCAGGCTCCAATCTGAAATCAGATATACCAATGGTTAGAGATTACTCAATGCTTATATTTACTGCAGTGTTGTACTCAAGGTTCTTGTGAAGGATCCCAAGTCAATCACAAGTCAATCACAAGTCAATCACAAGTCCATCACAAGTCCATCACAAGTCAATCACAAGTCAATCCCAAGTCAATCCCAAGTCCATCCCAAGTCAACCCCAAGTCAATCCCAAGTCAACCCCAAGTCCATCCCAAGTCCATCCCAAGTCCATCCCAAGTCCATCCCAAGTCCATCCCAAGTCCATCCCAAGTCAATCCCAAGTCAATCCCAAGTCAATCCCAAGTCAATCCCAAGTCAATCCCAAGTCAATCCCAAGTCAATCCCAAGTCAATCCCAAGTCAATCCCAAGTCAATCCCAAGTCAATCCCAAGTCAATCCCAAGTCAATCACAAGTCAATCACAAGTCAATCACAAGTCAATCCCAAGTCAATCCCAAGTCAATCCCAAGTCAATCCCAAGTCAGTCACAAGTCAATCCCAAGTCAATCCCAAGTCAATCCTAAGTCAATCCCAAGTCAATCCCAAGTCAGTCACAAGTCAATCCCAAGTCAATCCCAAGTCAATCACAAGTCAATCACAAGTCAATCACAAGTCATCCAGTTCCAAGTCAACTCAAAAGCTATATTCAAATGAACTGTCACAAAGGCACTCTTTTGTCATTGTTCATCCCCTGTTATTTGTGACTGGACTTATGAATGGAGCGTGCAAGTCTCACCAGTTCACGTTAACTTTTCATGTGAATGTCTCAATACCCAACACTGACTAGTATAGTCACAGACTCCTGTGTTAGAATTTACCCAACAGTTATATGCGTGATCGATTTAACGGTAGATGACTTGAGGTGAACATTTTTCGTTTGATAATAGTCATCAATTTGCAACATTTTCAATATGTGTAATTTGTAATTTCCTTCACAGAACCCAATTATTGCCCTTGACTGGACAAGCCTAGTCAGGACACAAAACAAATGCAAAATATAGGACGTTACACAAGTTCTAGTTCCTATACATGGTGCTATGATGTTCTGTGTTCTCCTAAATAGGTTTTTGAGGTCTACTTGCTCGCTCTATTGACTTGTGATGGCCCATATTTAGACACGAGTCTAGTCCCCAGCCTGAGAGAAGTTAGGTAGACTTACTTAGCGCCCTGTACATGATGAAGTTGGATGGCAGTGTCTGGATAGGCAACATCCTCATCGCTGGAGGATCGAGTCTCATCTATCTCTGCCTGATCATCTTCTGGCTCCGATCCATCTTCATCCTCGACTTCCTCTTGCTCCTCGAGGTCCTCCACGGCCGGGCCTGAGGAATCAAAGACAAAGGTAATCTCAAGGAAGCTGCTTTCGCTGTGTTGCCATCTAAACTTGATTATTCAAGTTTGATTATTCATAAAGATGTTTACTATTAAAACAAATAATTTTTTTTAGGGGACAATGGCCCCTAGATCCGACCTACCTGGAGTCATGACCTCATTTAAATACATTAGAACAAAAAACACCCTTGAAGGTAATATACAACATTTGCTTTTGTTGTAATTTTAAGAAATGGATGGATTTGGGGGCTAGTATTTTACAGCAAATATTGTTACACTGACATGTTTAAAGTTTGGTGTTCAAAGATGCCAGAAAATCCAAGTGAAAAAAATGCTGTTCTTGTAGTCTGGTTCCCTGACACAACTTCAGCTGAGACGGAGCAATTTATAGACGTCTGAGAATTGTCAGGTCAGGGAACAAGACTAGCTGGCTTGCACTCGTTTGGCTTGTTACCGATTGGACACAAAATGTGGACTAACTAAATTTTGTAAATTCCCCCAATTTCCCAGTCAGTTTTTTTCCAACGATAACATCAATGGTTGGCCGACCATTGTTGGAAATTGATACAAAAAATTCCACTTTTCCTGAAAATGACAGCACACTAGGTGCCATGATTTCACAGGATGCTTGAGACTGTTATTCACTTACAGTCAAGTAAGGTATTTCAAAATAAATTTTGTTTTTTGTTGTTTGCAAATGTTGTAAATAGTTTGTTTTTATTGTCCTGTCAACTGCTTCTCCTGTCCTTCAATAACCTGGTGGGCAATTCCTTCCCCAGCCTGGAGTTTGGTTGTGGAAACTCTCACAACATAACCCAGGGGGCCAGCTACACGTGTATACACTTCTTAACAAAGACGTCCAAGAGGTCAATGACTTCCGTCTTTCCAAATTCCTTGGACAAATTAGAACATGTCCCATATTGTGCCTCTAATTTCTCCGTCAAGGACAACCATGCGAAGTACTGTCATGTCCCCAGTTTCCCGTACACATCATAATGACCACAAAATCATGCACGACTACAAAATTATTCACATGCACTACCACTTTCTCACTAAAGTAAAGTATTTCTCAAGCAATCATGCTGACAATATTTCTATTGTTTTGGGCAATAGTGACCTTGACCTTTGACCTGTCGGCCCCATGCTAAGTACTATCATGTCCCATGTTTCCCGTACACATCATAATTACCACAAAATCATGCACGACTACAAAGTTATGCACATGCACTACCACTTTCTCACTCAAGGGGTCTCCACATTTCAAATTGTACAGTGTTTGTTTGTAGTTGTGCCTTTCATCCATTACCACCTCCTCCTGCGAAGCGGGCGAGGCGGCGCCACCTCGTTACTGTTAAGATTCTGAAATTGTACTGACAGCAGTGCGCCTAGTAGTCTGATTAACCTAGTTCTTAAAGTACATACGGAATACATTAGCCTTTTTGGGAATGCATTCCCTTCAGGGTAGTGATTGGGCTAGAGACTTACCAGCTTGGTTGTCCTGTTCTGATGTCTTCTCCTTCCCCTCACTGCCGTCCTTTTCACTGCTGTCATCACTGTCACCTTCCAGTTGAATCTCTTCATCCACTGAACCATCCACCTGGACGGACAAGAAAACTATTTTATCCACAATGTGCTTTTCACCTGACGTAAATCCCAGGGGGGGGGGGGGGGAATGAGCCAATGGATCATCCCCCAAGATTTTTGTGGTGAGAAACAAACAATTATTTTCTAATTTTCCAACGGTTCAAATTTATCAAATAGTTGAAAAATGGGGAAAAAAAACAGTCTGCAAGCTTTCAATGCACTGTTTGTGTGTAAAGATAAGGATTGTAAAGATTCGCCTTTCAAATTTCCATGGTTGGGCAATTTTAGGATTTTGCAGTATGGTCATCCCCCACCCCCCTCACTTGCCAACACGTATTTACGCCACTGACTTTCCTTAAATTGACTGTTGGGGGAAATTTACACTGCGCGCAGTAACCGGATAAAAAAACAAACCAAAAGTTAAAAAATACCAATGGGGACAACATACACTGCGTGTGCACACACAATACTGGAATTTGTATCCTTGTGGAGACATTTCTTTGTTCTTGTGTACTAAAGTTTTTGAGTTTGAAAGTACAGTTTCAAAATGATCTTATTTTAACCAGAATTAATTTCCTTGGCTGAAATTGGGACCTCATATCCCTTTTCTAAAACTCTACCATTTGCAACAGATCAACATACCTTGGAAATTCCTAGTTTTTGAATAAAATCCATATATTTATTTCGTGAAAACCTTGTGGAGACGTATTCATCTATAGAAATTGCCTCGTGGAGACGTATACAATCTTTTGTTCCCTATTGTGTGCATGTTTCCAGAGGGCACGGTGTATCAGATCATGTGACGTGGTAGGGCAAGGAACTACTGTGCTTAGAAACTGGACAGAGTTTTCAAAATACTGTGTGATATATCTGCATTCTGATCAACTAACTGGAATGCTATGGAGCTTGGTCATGACTTTAATTTGCGTAATTTTACATAATTCGCCATGGTTTTTCTGCCCATGTACAAATGTTGACTACCACGGATTTGCCATTTTTTGTTACAATGTTTCTATGTAAATTTGCCCCTAACCCTAACCCTCCAGAGTATTTTGGCTAGAAACCCTGCTGAACGCAGCAACATGCAGCACTTGTCAAAATAACAAGCCTGCCCAGTGTAGCAAGATCCATCAGGCCAAAAATCTCAAGGCCAAACTGCCTCAGAGACCGTGGTCACCAACTGCAGCAGGATACAACTGTGGCATTGTTCAATGGGACTAGCTCTCATTGTTTCAGAATTTGTCGTTTATGCACTAGTGTTGATGGCTCAATGCAGCAAGGTCCCACAGACTTTTACACCTGATGCATTGTGTTGCATCTGGCAGGGTTAGGGTTAAGGTGCAGGAAACATCCTCCTTACCGTGGAGCTGTCGGCCAGGGACATCCCATCTTCCTCGATGCCTCGTACTCGTCTCTCCTCTTTATGCCTCCAGACGCAAGAGTCATCTACCTGCAATGACATCATCAAATGACACCATCGACATCACTTAAACATTCTATTCTCAACTATTGTGTAAGTTGTCCCTTCAAACTGACTTGTTTTGCTCCTAATCTGTACACAGTGATGAGCACAAACAAAGCACACAGACGTGTTTTACTATACTCTCGAGGACAATGCTTTGTGTTTCCCTTTGTCCCTGTAATATAACACTCTCCCATAGACTAAGCACACAAACTTACTACAGAGGACCGTTTCCAACAAAAGACCCAACTCCCGAGGACTGAAAGGATCTGTTGTTCTCCCTTTGTGTGTCGGTCCTCGGGGGTTATGTAGAAGACGTACATTTGTGCTGGTCTGGTAATACACACTCAGAACATGATGCACTGCCTCATTGTGCATATGGCAACATGCACATATACATGTAGCCTAACTTGACTTGTTCAAGTCCAAATGCGTGATTTTTTTACCCATTCACAGGTTAATAAAACACTAGCAAAATGAATCAACACTGTTCCTAAAACAGATAAATAAAGGGATTTTACAGAAAACTAAACAGTACATAAAAAAAACACCAAAGGCTGCTACTGCACGATACAGCAAATCAGCAAAACAAACTCAGAGAGAGAGAGAGAGAGAGATAGACGAACTTAACATGATTAAGCAAAATTTCAGAAGTGGCTAATCCCTCAGGATTGCATTTCATACCTTGAACAAGAAGCCAAAGCCCATCATGAGCTGTGCTGGCGGCAGATAATTCTTTTTACCTGTGGAGATAAAAGTACAGAAAATTGAAAATTTACCCACAACTTAAAATCTGCATGAATTGTGACTGTTAATGCATACTATGTGCAAGTTGAAATGAAATGTACTCGGTCTTTTAGTCTGATCAGCTTTTTTATATTTTTCCCTCCTCTCTAAAGAGGCTTTTCACTTTTATAAATAACTGTACTCATTCGTCAATAATATCAATGCCAGATCTAATCTTCAAAACATGTGTTTTATTTAACTGACCTCTTATCATGAAACTACCAGTTGTCAGGTACTCTCCGGTAGGTGCCGTTTTAGAAACCTGCAAATAGAAAGAATAAAAAAAATGTCCGGTCAAATTTTAGAACCAATGCTGATTACAGAGTAGTCTTGGCCCAAGACGCTAGTGATCGATAGATGACGGTGCATTGTGCGCCCTCTAATGGCACAACAATTAAACCAGCGTGCCTACTCGCACTAATGTCTTGGCCATTTCGTTTCAGCGGTTTAAAGTTGTCTTTATTTTCTCCCTAGGCTTTCCTAGGGAACCAATCAGCGATCGAGAAAAGGTTCAATGGCTCGTGTGGGATTGATATCCACCATCAGTGGTGAATGGTAGTTATCCCAGTACAGTGGAACGTCGCTGTACTGAACACCGCTATACTGAACATTATACAAATATAACATGGTTTGAGGGTGGACAGTCGATATTCGCTCCCCGAGGTATTGGAGGTTGACAAACTTCGCCTCGTGCTACACCCGTGCGTTTTGGCGATGTTGGCGCGTGCATACTAACCCGTGCGACAGTTCCAAGATAGCTTTGTAAAGCGCATGCGTAGTAGACTGTCGCACGGGTAACCCGTGCAACAGTCTACTACGCATGCATATTTACCCTGTGCGTGAATCCTCGCGCGCGTTTGGTAAACAGCAAAAATAACATCTGGCACGTGATGGTGAATTGACCAGTGAGAGTTCGGCTCTCGATCATGAATATATATGAGGTATAGTAATCGGCTATACCGAACATCGTCCTTGGCTCCCGATTTTTGTGTACAAAAGGTGCCTAACATTGCTGTTGAAAAAAGACAAAGCCACCCATTGCTGTACTAGGTGGGAAGCTCAAACACTGTGTAATTACATTATTCAATAGTCGGCATGTGTTCAAAGTCATCTTTCAGTAACTACCAGGGCGTGCAGGGTGAAGGACTGAAGGGCGCTTTTTATTGAAAAGTGAGTACCGGAGCACCGGCAGCTTTAAAATCGCTACACCGAACGATCTTTATTATGAACAATTTTTGTGGATCCCACGATGTTCGTTATAGCGACGTTCCACTGTATTCCATATTTCACCAGCCTTATCGACGAATCCTTCTCGACGCCTGTGATCACTGTACACTCACTAGGCCCCCTTCAATGGATAAATCACATTGTACACTATTGTACAAATTGCCTGCCCTGCAATGGATTATCTGAACAATAGCTAGCACAATGTTTTCGCCATTGAAGGGGGCCTTCGTGATAGCATTGCTAGCGTGCCTGGATTGGAGTTGAGAACGTGAGTTGCCAAACCCACAAAGGAGTAACCAATAGGGCTCGTTCAATTGACGTCATTTCCTACAGACCATCCACGTGCGTCGGCATTTTGAGCGTTAACTTGCATAACGCACATCAGCTGCGTTGTATTTCGAACACATTTTGAGCAATAAGCGCGTGTTTGGGACATTTTCAACACTGAGCAATGCGTGCTCGATTGCGTAAAATACGCAGTTGCAGTTCTCCTACAGAGATGGCCGTCATTAAGCGAGCCCTATACACCACCACTTCTCACCTGATCGTGATGCACCCACCATGCACTGGTAACCACCTTAGCATCCCACGCCACACTGTAGCATATGGCCATCACACCAGCTTCTTGCAGAGTAATGGGGGGTACCAGTCCACCGGTTGGATTCTTGATGATCACGCTACTAGCTCCGTGAAGATCGGCATGCACATATATGTCACCTTCAAAAAAAATTTCACAGTAAGAAATAAAAAATCCATACCCCTTTCCATACAAAACAAAGTGTAGTAAGTAAGCTTGATTTTACAAATGATCCATATATACTTCAGACAAAATGAAACCTATCAGAGAATTTTATTCAAAAAATATTTTTCTTTTACCATTATTGATATGATGTCATACCTTGTGATAGATACTTCTTGACGACGATTTCGTTTTGCTGTTGGTCTCTTCCAGCAATGATAAGGTAGTTCTCGGAGCTTACAAACCAATAAAACTTTTCAAACCTACACAAACAAAAACCAAACTCTAAAATGAAGAAGAAACAACACTGAGTTCATTTGAATCCTAATTGATGACACCACTTTAAATAAACTGGAAATGTTAGGAATTTTTTTACAACTGCTTCTGTTGAGCTGTGATTAAAATTGCACAATTTTGTAGAGTATTCATTGTACAAAGCTTTCATTAAAAATAAACTAGTCAAATGGGGTTACAGCTGTCATCAGGCACGCAACTTGGAATTAACAAAAAAACAAGGAAATTCCAATTTTTACAAGACTTTGTACAGTGTTTTTCAGTGTGAAGTGAAAAACGAGGATATCAGCTGATGCGAGAAAAGTGTCATGGTGTGTTATAACACCTCACCCACAGATTCTGTATCTTGATTTTTATGTTAAAACAGAAGTACATGTAACTGGATTTTGGTTTACAATTAATCAGTTATCTCTTAAAATCAAGCCGAATCTGTGCGTAAGGCATTATAAAACATATTGACTGCTTGAACTCATGTTGTAGTAACACCAGCCTCCCTCGGTGATCAATGGAGGGTTCCATCTCCCTTGGCTATGCCTCAGGAAAACAGAATGCTCCATGGATCACCTCGGGAGGCTAGTTTTACCACACCCCTTGGAGCAGTCAATATTTGTATAATATTCACATCAAAGCCATCTACAACACATGTCACTTTTACCTATTAACGAAACTTGGCCAATGGACAAATCCACTGATCATTATTCACAGAAATTTTACTGTTGCTATCTTAAATGGCGGGTAAGAAATGGCGGGTAACAAAACTATATATAGTTGTCATTGAAGCTTTGCATGTTGGAGATTACAACTTGAGAGATGTTGCCGATACACCATGTGAAGCAGATTTCTTTAAAGGTACATCATTTGCCATTTGTGAATTTTTTCGTTTGAAGCAACGAAAGTGCTTACAATCTGAAGACTGTAGTTTCCAAGACAACAATATTCTAGGATCTCAATTTCAATTCCAAAGTTGCAGAGTCATGATTGAAATGGTGCCCAGAATCAGCTTCTGGGACACGTTCTCTTTCAGCCAATTGCAACTACACAATGTCACGCACAGAACCGAAGAAAAATAACAACCGCGCGTGTACGTGTTCATCTTTTCAAACCATGGACGAAAAATACCAGAGAACAAAAGAGAACAATATCGTCCCCGATTCCCAGCATACGTCTGCGATTGGGGTCGTGTACAAAACATATGAGAGTCTTCCTAAAATGTTAGTACAAACAAAAGAGGGACAATAGGACCTCCACGATTGGCGTGTGTGCGTTATGTCTACCCTTGCGCACAGCCGTTCACAAATTTGTCCAATTACAAACCAACTAATAACGGAAATTTCCAAAAATGTGTCTTGACTCATCTTTGGAAATTGCCTTCTTTTATTGTTTTCTTCAAAATGTCATGCCAGAAAGAATTTCGCAGGGAGTTTAGTGCCATTACTATCTTTAAACCATGTGAGTTTTTCAGCAATAATTTTGTCAGTTACATTTTGGATAGCTGCAAATGATAAACGCTACCTTCAAAAGCAAAGTGCGTTTCTGAGAAAATCTACAGCTACCGGTATGAACTTGGAGTTTTGGTCCATATAGCACTACATATTTGTGTTTTTTCCGAAACAAGAAAAAACAATGGAAACAAACTTCACATCTCTAGTTCTTTAACAGTCTTTGAATTTTCTTAGTTTCCCCTTTTTGGCCAGTTATCAAGAACTGGCAAAAACATGACGAACTGAAAATGGTTGCAAATTATAAAGGAATAACAAATAATGGTTTTATACCAGTATGTCTTCCTTGTCTTGTTGATGCTTGCAACCGTTGCAACGTCTTTCAGGGCCTGTTTTGTTTTACGTTCAGCTGACTTGATAGCCTATTAGATGCGAGAGAAAACTCAAACTTCATTCTTGTGGTTTGTTTGATATTTACACCTGAAATACAAAAATTTCTGACTAAGTAACAAAATGTCATCGACTAATTAATCCATCCAACAAAAAATTGATTAATCTATAGTTTAAAATGAAAAAAAAAAAAATCTCCCCAAAATGTTTCAGTTTCTTTTCTATCATGTCACAAACCTTCTCAGATGCATCTACTGTCCGTTGTTCCTTCTTCTTTGAAAATTTCTTCTGTTCATAAAACCTGAACAAACGACACAACAATCACAGGAAAACCAAATGATAAGAAGATTATTTCCAACAAAAGTGTAGTGAAAAGGCAAACTGTGCAAGAATGTAAAATAAAACTACTGGGTGGTCCAAAAGAGTTCACACTTTTCAGACACAGATTTCTCAAAATTTGAAAGAGATGTTGATTTTTTTTTTTAGATATTCCTTAACTATAAGATCTTGGTGGTATCGGTGAAAACGGCAGTCAAAATGAAGCCTAAATAAAGAAATGGCGGCCATTTACAGAAAAATTGTCAAAAGCCAGTTTGTCCACACGCAAGTCCTCACAAATCCTCACAAGTCCTTACAAATCCTCACAAGTCCTCACAAGTCCTCACAAGTCGTCACAAGTCCTCACAAATTCTCACAAGTCCTCACAAGTCCTCACAAATCCTCACAAGTCCTCACAAGTCCTCACAAATCCTCACAAGTCCTCACAAATCCTCACAAGTCCTCACAAGTCCTCACAAATCCTCACAAGTCCTCACAAGTCCTCACAAGTCCTCACAAGTCCTCACAAATCCTCACAAGTCCTCACAAGTCCTTACAAATCCTCACAAGTCCTCACAAGTCCTCACAAGTCCTTCAGTCTCAAGCAAATTAAAATGACTGTGACACAGACGTTCCTATGTTATAGTTCATCCTCGAGTCCCCTTTTACTTGTGACTGGACTTGTGTACGGATTTATGATTTTCTTTTGACCGGACTTGCGCTGGACTCGACTACATCCCTGGTATATCATCGATCCTCCATATTCTGCACAGGTAACTCTTTGCAACACGTGCTGCCAACACAAATTACAGGCGAAATAGGATCGCATAGTTTTAAGAGGCCTGACAACACGTACCTTCTGGCGTTGGCATATGCCGACAAGCCCAAGTCAATATCCACATAATTGGCCTTGTCTTTCTTCTTCTGTTTCCTGCTGGATTCTTGTGAGTTCTCTCCTTCCTCCTCTTGCTGGTCTTCATAAGGATTCCTGAAACACAATGGTCCGTAAAAGCACGGTTACGTAAGATTTACATGTCAAGATGTTGCTTGCTTGCATTTAGAGGTAATATACAACATTTGCCTTTGCTGTAATTTTCAGAATTTGATGGATTTGGGGGGTTAGTATTTTATTGCAAATATTGTTACACTAACCAGTTTAAAGTTTTGTGTTCAAAGCCCAGAAAAAAAAAGCTGTTCGTGTAGTCCGGTTTTCTGACCCCACTTCAGATGAAACGGAGCAATTTATAGACTTCTGGGAATTGTCAGGTCAGGGAACCAGACTAGTTGGCTTACATCTGTTCGCGGATGTGTAATCGACTGCAAACAAAATGTGGACTAACTAAATTTGGTAGACTGAGGGCAGTATTTGAAAAAACTCAGTCATTTCCCAACGATGGTCGGCCAACCATCGTTGGAAATTGATACAAAAATTCCACTTTTCTTGAAAGTGACAGCACACCAAGTGCCATGATTTCACTGGATGCTTGAGGCTATTATTTACTTACAGTCAAAGTAAGGTATTTCATAATAATTTGGTAGTTGTGTTGTTTGATGTTTGCAAATGTTGTATATCACTTTAATTCCATGCTCATGCAGACTAAGGACACAGGATACACATACTTTGCGGTACAAATTTTTTTTTGGCCTCGGTGCCGCTAAAGCCTTAGAGAATGGCCTTTACACCCTACATCTTTGCGAAAACCTTAAGGACCAGTGGCTATGCCCTCAACAAGACTGGACTTGCCTATTTGAGCTAGACCAAAAGTTTCAGTTGAGGACATCATTTAAACTCAGTGAATCGGGCAGTCAGTGAGTCGGTCCAAGGACAAGATGCTATGAGCTCCGTGCGCTACCAAAAGAGGGCGCCCTTTCACCGAACAACCATGGGCGGGACATTTCGCTGGTTGACGCACACCGTTCCTTGTGTGTGACGCACGTACACCAGGGGATTTGTACTATTTACACGCAGTGACCGCGCTTCGCGGAAAATGAATTGCAGTCAGGCAAGATGGCGTCGGTCGGTCACCCCCAACTGTACTTCCTTTGCTGGTGAGGGGGTGCTTGTGAACAGAGCGGATAAATCCTTTCAGGTCCAGCACAAAGACAAAGTTTACGGCCGGTTGGGACTGACCTTAGCACCATAGTAATGTGGTTGGTATCCAACTTGAGGTTTTTAATGGCCGATGCGACGGGATCCTGCTGAGCCTGCGCTTCATGGATGATGTTATTAATCTCCGTCCAGTCGATCTGATTGGCTATCGCACTCCGCACAACTTTAATGGCCTGGTCCACCTGTTTGGAAACGATAATTGATTGATCCAATAACTGATGAGTAAACTAGATGGATATTCGATCTATGGATGCACACAATGAAACTTAGCCATTCTCCCTTCTGCATATCCAACAGACCCGTTGCACGGTGCGCCCTCACTGAGGGCAGTTTTGACTTATTTAAATTCAGTTACAATGAAAATACAAAGCGTCAACTCATATGTATCACAGTGGAACAAAGACCTGTCCTCGGATGTGAGGTCAGATACAAGGGGTCTGTTCAGCCGGAGCATGTGAAATTACTGAGGGCATCAACAGATCTCTTACAAGCTGAAAATGGAGAACTGTGCTGTCATTTACGATGATTTCTTTTGCTCCAACATATGTGCAAGTTATATTTTTTGTCTTCTTTTGGATTAAGAAAAAAAAAACCCCAAAGCACACAACAATCGGCAGGTAGACAACTTGGATACCATTGCTTAAACAGTTTAAGTACACAAGAAATTGAGACAATCAACCTACAAAAGTACTTTAGATGTAAATAAGCCATGTATTTAGTGTAGTTTGCAGGGTGTGAGGCTTAGTGGTAAGGGTTTGTGACTCATGATCAGAGTGTCAGGGGTTCGAATCCAGCTGCTGGTCATATGTTGTGCCCTTGGGCAAGCCACTACACCTCCACTTTCCTCTCTCCACCCAGAGGTATATATGGTTACCAGCATTAGCCTATTTGAGATGGACACAATAGGAGGGCGCTATTTGGTTTGGGTAAATACAAAAGACTTTACCCAAATAAAACAGAATCCTATTGTGTCCACCGTATCCATGAGCTGGGGAGTAACCTGCAATGGAGTGGAATGCCATCCAGGGGGAATAGAAATATTCCCAGTCGTTTCACGCCAAGGAACCTGGAGATAAACGCGGTCTGAGGGGCCTTATTGGCTCGTGACAGACCTTACTTTTAGTGTTATTTTCATTCAAAACTCTACAGTTCCTGCATGCAGGAATTCTTCACATTTCTGTTAGGACCCATCCGTTATTTGAACTACTTCTCTAAAATGCCAGAATTTTTTTGAGACAAGGAAAGAAATCATCAGTCATTTGAAATCTGCTTGGGGAAAAAAAGCATTCAATTCACACCTTGAAGACTTACCAGTGGAAGGTTCATCTCAATGAGTTCACCTTTCCTCATGTCTATCTCCTGCCAAAAGTAAAAACAAAAAAACTTAAAAAGCTAAAAATATAAAACAAGTACAAAATGCATGACTTGTCCAAAACTTTGAGTGGGTATTAAAGCGAGTGACAGAATGGGAATTCTACCTTTGGTATTCTGTCTAGCCCCATTTTAGGTTTTGTCATGAAATTCAACATCCTACGGATTTCAGAAAATCAATTAATTTTTCCCCTTAAATATCTAGGAATTGTTCAAAATGACATACAATTGCAAAAATAATATGTGTTCAAAAAATGAAAATGCAGAAACAACATTTTGTTTTAGTCTAGACCTATGAAGTAGTCAGTGACGCATGATGACATGGCATAAACAAGGATTGTACATGACTTGAATGTCCTTTCATTTTAAACGATTACTGTCATCCTTTTTTTTGTTTTCTTTTAATTGAAATAAATACTTTGATTATATTAATGTGCAAGTTTTAATAATTTTAGTTGACAAAGCAGAAACACCTGATGCTCAAACATGAATTGCCAAGCACGCCAACTGAAGAACCAAGTTCTGTTTGGTTCGATTTGAAAGTGCCATGTTCGGCAATTTCGATTTGGTCTGGCAGTTTGTCTAGTCATAACTCTACAGTTATATGGAATATGGATTACAGGAAATTGGCATAAAAAAAAGGCCATTTCATTAACACTAAACTTTCCAACTCCATCAAAATCCATCCCCCCATTTTGGGGGGATTTTGGTAGGCAAGCCATAAGTACCAAGTCCATCAAAATCCACCTATGGCAGTGATGGATTTGTGGTGGATTTCAGCGGATTTGGTCCTGAAGCATTATGTGAAGCAGAGTCAGTGACGGATTATGACAGACTTGGTCTTAGGTTAAAAGGGATCCAATGATTGATAAAAAAAAGAGTTGTAAAGTTGCGACTGCCTCACACTCTACTGACTCTAGATCCTCAACAAAAAAACCCCCAAAAAACATTGGTGTAGTTGGACCCTTTTTTAGCGTGTGCATTTAGCTGAGGCCTTATGTGCATGTACTTGTTTCCCCGCACTTGTTTGCTCCATAATAAACCCTTTTGATTCGGCCATAAGCTCTGCCCCCTTTGCACTTGGACAAAGACATGTGAGCAAGCATTGCATACACTATGTGGACTTGTGAACAATAGATGTCCACACAATGTTGGGTCTCGAGACACTGTGTGGACTTGCACAGGTCCACACAGCGCATTCCACTTTCTGAGAACCCCCCCCCCCACCAGTTTTACCAGTTTTAGAGGAATTTGGGTTAAGTTTATCTGTCGCAAAATGAAGTAGAACATGAAAGGGAATCAAGGTCATTCAAAAAAATTCTTTCAGTGCGAGTGGCAACGTTTTTAAACATGTCATTTCTAAACTACAGGAAAACGAGGATTATCCACATAGTGTTGTAAAACAAGCATGTGTATGTCTATGTGTGCATGGTGCGTTATCCAAGCATATCAGACTGTTATCTGAGCGTTTTGTTGTGTACTCACGGTTGTGATTGTGCACAACATCACGGGGCAGAGTTTACTAGATCGGTCTATTCAATAACAAATTATTTGGCCCTACTAGGGTTCTGTACCTGTGCTTTCATCAGCTGATCAAGACGTTTCTCGTGGTCTTTCTTCACATTTTCCAGCTTTTTCAGTGCATCTTTTTCCTGTAATCAAATAAAGATCATTTTAACATATATGTTACTTTACTAGAAAGCCTTTGCAACAATGTGTTTTCAGTAAGCAATTATTAGGATTAAAACGGGAGAACACAAGATCTAACACACGATGGCCAATTTCGGGCAGTCTGTTCTTGACACGGGTATTGTTCTTGCGCTCGAACGGCAGGAACACGATACCCACGAACACTACACTTGGAACAGGATCACACAACATCTAAATGTCAGGGTTTTGCAAGAACAACAATACCCATGTCAGGAACAAACCGCCCAAACTTGGCCCATAAGTCAATCTTGGGAGTTGCCCTTCCTGGATGCAATTTTTTAAAGCACTTGATTTTTTGGTTCAATTTCTAATACAAAATTCTTGAATTTGCTCATATCACAGATAAACAGAAAGCCAAGATAAGTATATGATAATGATGAACAGAAAGTTAGAATGTGACATGACGTTTTGGTTTTATTTTTACCTGTTGGAGAACCTTCATGTCTGTCTTCTGACTTTCCAGTTTGGAGTAAAATTCATCCACGGCCTGTAAATAAGCAAAGGAAGCAAATACTCAGAAATTTCATTTCTTTTTAGTATAAATTCTGCAATCGTTATCAGCAATTTAAGACTAAAACAAGAAAAGTACGGTGTTAAAAAACACAAATGCCCCGCAACCATGCCTATTTCCATGACATAACACCACTCTATTAACATCAACTTACCTGGGTCACATGGAACGTTCATTGACATCGTTATTGTTTTCTTTAGGTTATATATGTAATGTATTGATGCCTATGATCCCATAATGAATTTTTGTTTTTTGCTTTTCTGTTGAGAAGTCATTGTATGTGATTTAAGCAAACTGACTGGATATTTTCAGTCTTAAGCAAGACATTTCTCAAAGGCAAATCCTTTGAGCATAATTCTTTGAGCATTTACAAGGCCTACATGGAAATAAGAATTTTCAAATAATCAAAAGAAAACATGGTTATTTGAATAAGCTTGAGTTATCATCATGACATCATTTCTTTGGTTTTTAATAATGAGAACAGTTGGCCTATGCGGTCCGAAAGTGACTCAAAATCCTAAGAACAATCCCTGGAGCTGCATACCATGTTCATTTACATGTACTACGGTGCAAGTCTCAAGTTTTAGTGTTACATGTACATGTACATGTGTTTGTTGAGAAAACTTTTTCTGTTGTTTCAATTAAAAATATGACTGTCCAATAAAAAAGGGTGGAGAAGCCACATTGATTATACAAAAAGCATGTATAAACAGTGTACAGGCCCCTAATATATTAGTGAGTGATTACATTTGCACATGTATACTGGTTTGGTTAAAAAAAAAAAAAAAAAAAAATCATGGCCTTTGTCTTATGGGGTTCAAACTTATTCATTTTCTGCAAGTTATACTAGCAAGCTACCTTCATTGAATCCAGGTATACATGGACATACAATCCAGATATCGCTGTGGAACCAAATGCACACGCACACACACATACACTGAAATTTGTATCTATTGTGGAGACATTTCTTTGTTCTCTTGTAGTAAAGTTTTCGAGTTTGAAAGTGAATTTCAAAATGCTCTTATTTTAACCAGAATTAATTTCCTGGGCTGAAATTCGGACTTAGTCTCCCTTTTCTAAAACTCTTCCATTTGCGACAGATCAACCAACCTTGGAAATTCCTAGTTTTTGAGTAAAATCCATATATCTATTTCATGAAAACCTTGTGGAGACGTATTCATCTATAGAAATTGCCCTGTGGAGACGTATACAATCTTTTGTTCCCTATTGTACACACGTCTCCAGAGGGCACGGTGTATCAGATCACACACACGGACGGACAAGGCGGAAACAGCATGCCCCTTCGGCTTTGCCTGCGGGGCATAAAAATCCATGAATGTTTGGTTACTGAGTATTTTCTTCACAATTATTTGCGTCCTGACGATCTGTCTACTATCGCAGGGTACGGTCATTTATGCGCAAAATGAAAACCTTTTTTTCAGAGGGTTGCAGTTGCCCAAAATTGGAGTACATGTACATCAGGTTTTCCGTTATAACAAAACATTCAATTTGAAATTTGGAGAAATAAAAAAGTAATTCTTTTGAAGAGCATGGTGTATGCAACCTAAAGTAATAATGCTAACTATTAGCTTAAAAAAAATTCAATTATTTAAAATTTTCTGCTCATTGGTTGCTTTAGCTGCTTGGGATTGGTTGCTTTAGCTGCTTACAAATCTTAGTCTGTTCCCTGATTGTGTTATGAGGTCCAATTCTCTTTCTCTTTACATTGACACAAAGTATGACCCATCCCTAAGAACTGAATGTGTAATCTGCTGCCTGACTCAGTGATGGCTAATTTCATGCTTGAATTCAAGAACCGCATTTTAGAGCCAATATTACAATCACTGCTAAAATCTACCTGTATAATAACGCACAGTTGCAAGATCTTTTCTTGACAAAAGGAGAGTCAGGTCTTTTGAAGCGTAACTAATGGACTTTTGATTAAATTCTGCAACTCCACAGAATGTTTACATGAGACTCCATTTTTTGGTTCCTGCTGTTTTTATTATCATCTTCAATATTATAAAGCTATAATAGATATAATTAACAGACCTGTTTCCATGCCAACTTTACCCAGACAGATGAAAAACATCATTTGCTGATGAGAAAAATTGTGTTGACGTGGCAGTCAATCTGGGCTCCGCACAGGTATGACACGTAAGAGCATATTCTCTACACTTTGATGAAGGAAATTGACTTTGGAGTGACAAATATCGAGTAGGATTTGTGTAAAATGGATTTGGAGATACTATATCATTCTACAATCTGATAGTTATTTGTTTTAGTTTCCATTACTCAATCAATTTAATCAACTTGATATAATTTACAAATTGAATAACCAACTATGTATCTGGAGATGGAAAGCATTCTGTTTGGAGGTTGGCTTGCTGTGATGGTCGGTGTTTTCAATGCTGATGCTACCTGTATGAGTTGCCCACAAGGATGGACATACTACAATCATTCATGCTATATCAAGTTTATTAAAGTCAGAATCCCTTGGATTGAGGCTTACAAGAGGTGTGAAAGTCTGAATGCTCAGCTGCTGGTACTCAACTCCAAGGAAGAGACAGACTTTATAAGAGAAATAATGCAGCAAGCATTTCCTGGCAATTCAAAAGGCAAACGGCTCTGGCTTGGCTGTAAGGAGAAAGATGGGAGGCGAATGTGCTCTGATGATAACCAACAGCAGCTTGCAATGCTCAACAATGAACAGACATGCACAGTGCTGAAGCCCTTCACTTCAGAATCTAGAGTACATGATTGTTCTAACATTAAGCGATATATTTGTGAGAAACAAGAAAAAGTGAGCAGTTCACTTCGCTGCCAAGGTGTCAGTAAGCAAGATGCTGGCCCAATGACCACACCCTACTGCCTGCTGGGCCACGCCTACATGGTCACCCAGATCAAGCACCCGATACAATGCTGCATGGCCTGCTACAAGGATCCCAACTGCCGCTCCTTCAACCTGTCAGGGAAGATGTGCCAACTCAACAATGTCACCATCTCCCAGGTTGATGCTGACAAGTTTGTGACTACCGTGGAGAGCTGTGCCAACTACCAAATTGATTTGTAATCAGCAGGAAGTATAAAAGAATAAATCACACGCACTCTTGTCTGATACATGCAATAAGTGCGACCCAATTTCATGAATGCTGGCCCTACATGAGCTCAACACAAACAAAAACTTGGAACTCTTTACAAGCTTTCCCTCAACACAATCGCTAGTACCTGTATCTTAAACTCTCCAGTACATCAGACTGATGTTGACAACATGGAAACTACACCCACTACTGACTTGTTTACATCTCATCAGCTTTAAAATACCTTTCATTGATAGCTTTCGAAATGTTCTTCTTCTCAAAGGATTGACAATCGCTGAAGGGCAAAGACTTTAATAAAAAATATTTTGACAGACAGTGAAGATCTGAACTTCAATGTTTATGTGGCTGCTGCGGGCTGTGGAAACAAAAATCCACTTTCAATACGCCCTGCATATTGACAGGATGATTGAATGGATGACAGAAGCAACAACAGGTTGTAACTAGCTTCTAATGAACAGCGATCACCACATTTCTATGGATGATGAAATTCTAAATCTCAGTATTTTAATATGGCTGTCAGGTTGTGGCTTATCAAAACAAATACCCAACCTCAATATGACTGGCATTTGGATAGTAAGACAACAATAACAATCAAATGTCACTCTCAGTGTCAATTAGAGTCATCCGTCTGGAAATTATGGACAGTTACTGGCTCACTAAGGAAAGGCTTCGTATCATTTAAGGATTGGATGCCGACGGGAACACAGCTCGATCGCGTTAACAGATACAGCAGAGAGAGCTCGGATTGAGTGACCATTGCAAACTGCCTGCAAGGATTTACTCAGAATGTATCTGGAGATGCAAAGCATTCTGTTGGGAGGATGGCTTGCTCTGATGATTGCTGTACTTGGCACTGATGCTACCTGTACAAGCTGCCCACAAGGATGGACATACTACAATCACACTTGCTACATCAAGTATATTACAGACAGAGTCCCATGGATTGAGGCTTACAAGAGATGTGTAAGTCTGAATGCTCAGCTGCTGGTACTCAACTCCAAGGAAGAGACAGACTTTATAAGAGAAATAATGCAGCAAGCATTTCCTGCCACATTAAATGGCAAACGGCTCTGGCTTGGCTGTAAGGAGATAGATGGGAGGTGGGTGTGCTCTGATGATAACCAACAGCAGCTTGCAATGCTCAACAATGAACAGACATGCACAGCGCTAGTGCCCTTCGTTTCAAAATCTAAAGCACTTGATTGTTCCAAAAAATATCGATATATATGTGAGAAACAAAAAAAAGTGAGTGGTTCACTTTGCTGCCAAGCTGTGAGTAAGCAAGATGCTGGCCTGATGACCACACCCTACTGCCTGCTGGGCCACGCCTACACGGTCACCCAGATCAAGCACCCGATACAATGCTGCATGGCCTGCTACAAGGATCCCAACTGCCGCTCCTTCAACCTGTCAGGGAAGATGTGCCAACTCAACAATGTCACCATCTCCCAGGTTGATGCTGACAAGTTTGTGACTACCGTGGAGAGCTGTGCCAACTACAGACTTGACTGATTCTGATTCAAGGTAAATTATCTCAACAGTCTGCTTCTACGCAACATCATTTCATCAAACAGGGCCATCTTTTGACAGATACGTGAATCTGAAACTGTCAACACGTGATCTACATGATTTAACTGAAGAAGATTGCTTACTACATTGCCAAATTATACACATGTAATTCTTAATGACATTGACTCAACTTGTTAATGAAAACATGAACTAACTGATAACAAACTTGAAATTTTACGATGACTTTGCTACTCATTTAGTTAATATAACATTTCCAGATAAATTATTTTTTCTTGTTTATAACAGGTTTGGGATTAACTTTACATTCAAGATTTGAGTATTCAAAAAGGCTCCAGAAATTGCCGA